TTTTGATTTAGTGGGATATAAGACTGCTGTGTTTATGTATAAAGCCAGGAACAATTTATTACCTGGTGGAATTCAAAAACTATTTATTGAAAGGGAAGGGGGATACAATTTAAGGGGTCAGTTAAATTTGAAAAATTCATGCTATACGTACAACCAAGAAAAGATTTTGTATTTCCATAAGTGGGGTAAAACTATGGAATAATTTAAGTGTGGACATAAAAAATAGTAATAGAATTGACGAGTTTAAACATAAATATAAAGGTATGTGTCAATCAAGATATATGCAAGAACAGGTTTAATGATTAACCAGATGGAACATTGTGGGTGTGGGGTAAGAATGTTAACACTTTGTAATAATTCTTTAGTATATTACTTGTGTGGTGTAGAAGATAATTATTTATGTAGTAATACTGCTTGCAAACCAATGATGATAAGATGATGTCATGGGGTAGGAATAGATAAGTCTGACTTCTTCCTACTCCATTCAGGCATGTACTAGGTATAAGCAAATTGATTTTGGATTAGCATTTGTTGGATATGTGTAAAATTATGTATGTTGACATATCAACTGTCTTTACATGCTTGAAAGAATAAATCAAATCAAAATCAAATCAATCAAAAGATTTAAATGATCGGTTTACTCACTTTGATCAGTTAGCTGATCAAATATACTGATACTGATTATATACTGAGTTACAAAATCAAAACCACAGTAAGACGTAAAGTAAATGTTTATTTTTTTGGTCACTAATGTCAGAGTATACAAACCTTTCTGGGTTGTGGGTTATCCTATTGATCTGTTTTAGTTGAATGTCCTTGTCTCACAGTTGGCTGATGTGATTTCTTTCCCCGTCAGAACAATACACAATGTTCTAGTTAATATCACCACAAAAGAACACAAACAAAAAAAATTCATAAACAGATTGATACATTTCTTCACAAAATTCAAGATTTACTGAGATTATCCTCATTTTCCAAGAGTTGATGAGCCAAGGTGACATTAGCATTTTTGCTTCTGATTTGCTTTGTCCTGAGATTATAGATCTGTCATTGTTCACACTGTTAATGTTGCTTTTACTTTCCTTTTGGGTTTATTGACAAGATACTGCATCATTTGCATTTATGCTTTTTTCAATATTTCATTGATCAAATAGAAAGGGGGGCATTCAAATGTTTGCAAATAAAGTAATAACAGGACAATGTAATAATGATAAATACATAGGTGGATCTTTATTGAAATGTTTTTTTTAAGAGATAATAGTTTCTCAGCAGCTACAAAACAGGGTACTGCATGCACTACACCACACGCTATAAACAAACCAACCAACACACAGTTCGACAAACAAACACAGACATTTTGCCTCTGTCTTTTCTGAGCCACTCTTGTTGTAGTTCTAATTCTGCATATTTAAACTACATATCATCACATATTAGTGACCTTTCCAGAATATTTTCAGATTGGTTACAATTACAAGAAGACAAACAGAATAATAATAAAAATAAATTCTACACTCAGTCACACAAACAACAAATATCATGTTGATTAAAGAAAAGGCCATTCACATTCAACTCAGAGTTTCTATAGGTTATCTACAATCCAGTGATAACAAAGTTCAATGACCTTTTTTTACACTTGGGAAACAGTCAAATTGAACAGTTGCTATCTTAGTAAAGGGCTGTGGTGAAGAACAACAGAAAAAGAATTAAGAAAGTGCTCCATGCATTTGTATCAAGTACCTCTTTAGATTTCAGTCTGTACTTTACAGTGTAATAATTGTGTATATATGGGGTATGAGTAAAATACTTGGGTAACTAAAGTTATGTATAACACTACATGTCTTCCCCTGTGTCTACCCAAAAAGTATTTTATTGGTATACCATATGTACAAAATATTCACACTGTTATTTGCAAGCTACTGGCCACTGGCTTGCTTTGTTAAAAGAATCTGCTAAGTAGAAACGGCTCCTATTCTCCTCCAGAATAAATGCACACACAGAGTGCCCGATTCATGGTCCCTCCGCTGTCACCCTCAACTCTTTCATCCTGACTGGTTGATCAGGAGATTCACAAAAAGAGTGTGCCAATTGGTGCGGAGTGACTGATAATCATTGTGCCAGTAGACAATCTACAGTAATCAACTTATCTGCTCAGATAGCTCTCTGAATGCAACCAAGTCATACATGATATGTCATAAAGCTGTATTTTGAGGTCAAAGGTCAAACACGTCATTGACTAATAAGGGGCTATATTTGTCTGTGTCTGTCTGAGGGATAAGACAGAGCTGTATCAGCTCTTGATAACCTATAGTAACTTTTGGTTCAGGTGACCAACCGAGTATGTATAGGCTACTACAGAGCAAGAGTCATTCTGTGAATGACTCACTACAGTTAGGGCTTTGGTTACAGTCTGGAGGTGATTCATAAAGAACTGTAAGATCAGTCATCTCCTAAACTACTTAATTTTGAAACAGTTGCTGCATACGTGCATTCATTTTCATTTAATGACACAACTCTGGAAAACAAAAGCGTTAGCATTTCCGCATTATAGGAAATGCATGTCAACAGAATCATTTACACATCAAGTTAAACGCAAATGCTCACATTCAAGTTATAAATCACCATAAATAGCAAATAAATTATAGAGCAACAAATAATTAATTTATTTCAAAGTAGAACTAGCAGTATAAAAATAGTTGCTACACAGTTATATTTCTTTCACTCTGCCATGCTCTTGCGATGACAATGACTGAATATCTGACAGAGGATCCCTGACGGGCAGTGTTTTAGGGATGATTTACAGCTTGAAAGTCTTTTTAAAAACAACCAGAATTTGTGTATTTTTGTCTTTAAATATGGTTGAAATGAAATTCCTTTTCAGACTAGTTAAAAGAAGTCATGTGTACAAAAAGCCAGACATGCGGTGGCGACTGATTAACCACTGAATATTTATGTAATATATTTAAAACAATGCTTTATCCAACTTCCTCATTTATCACTTTGGTTTTTCTTGTGCTTGGTGAGACGGTGCCAGGAACAGAACAAGATCTGAGATCTAAAACACCAACATGGGTATAGGGGTTATTTGTTTAAATAGTCATTTTAATCTAATAAGTGAACACACTGTATTACAGTCTAGGAATCAGAAATAAATCCTGCAAGGGGGGGCACCAAAGATACTTACTGTATATGTAAACCTACGTTTTCCTTGTTTCATTTGATTGAAAAATGTCAAATGTGAGAAATCTGAATACAAGCTGAATTAAGTCTAAACTAATGCAAGTATGTGTGTATTTTAACTTAGTGTGAGTTTTTGATTTGTGTTGGTCTACCTAACAGTAGACATGATAAAACATTCAATACTATGACTACTGACACTGCTTCCAAAAATTCATATTGTAATTATCCTTATAGTTTTAGGGTGGAAATAAAAACTGAAATTAGCAATAATGATTTCAGTTTGGACTGAAACTGACAAAAAAATTGAAAATGCACTTTAAAGGAAAAGGTCTGGTAATATTCTATATTTTTCATTTTTTCTACAAATTCCAGGAAAAAACCAAAACCAACAATTAATCGATCAACTATAACCAGACAGTTTGCTCCTCTTCGACACTGCTTATTTTTTGCCCATAAAATATTAAAAACACATTAATGAGCCACATTGTTGCACTGCTTAACATATTTTATAGTACATTTTGTGTCAGTCCCACAACCTGTTGCTGGGAGTACTCACTAGAGCGCCAAATGTGGCTAAAAATAACCCTGACAAATGAATTTACTCTGGTTTGAGTACTGTTTGCTTAAAAACTACAGTTCCCAGCTGTTTCAAGAAATTTTTTTAGCCTTTTAAAAAATGAAACAATATATTCACGGTCTAGTTTTAAAAACCGAGAGACAAACTAACACATCGTGGAGATTTTCTGTCATCAGGTCATGGTGTACTGATACCTGGGATTCCCCACCAGTCAATCAGAAGCTTCTTGGATGAGAGATGCAACATCTTTAAGAGCCTCAAAGCAAGTCTAATTGCCAACTTTAGTACATCAGAAAAACTGGCTTTACTGGCTTTTGGTCTTCTCATGGTATTTACTGTAATGGCAGTACCAAACATACAATATAGAATATTACAGTTCTTATTCTTCAAGCAAAACTAAATTTTAGGGCTGCCTATCCTATTTACACAAATGTAAACAGCCTCTCCTGGACTGGTGTTTCTACTAAAACATTTCCCGACAACATTGCCTCAGTAGCTTTCTTATTATGACCAATAACAAAAATCAACATGCACACTCAAACGCATAAATATCAGTAAAATGAGCCGGAGGTTCACCCTGTATTCATATTGTTTAACACAGTTTAATTTTGGAGTGCCCTGACCCATACTCATGTTTAAGAATAATAATAAAGATTAAATTCAGCTTATTATTAAATGTACTGGTTTTATGTCCACTGTGATTCCCCCAATGAGGCAAACAGCGCACCCTAGTGGTTACCCACAGCAATTTCCTCCGGCTCCCTTTTTTGTGGTCCCTTTTTATTATTCCAAGTCATGGGGTAGTGGGTGCAGCAGCAGCACGGGTGTAAGCTGCCAGGTCAGGCATTTGAAATGCAGTGCTTACCAACCTGATACACACATACACCCGACACATCATAGTAAAGGAGGGAGAAGGGACTGGAGCGGAGCAAGCAGGAGGAGGTAAAGGGAAACAGGAGATAGAGGTCTGTTTACAGGAGGTGAGGATGAGAGAGGAAGGCAAGTGTGGGAGGACGGTGATCGACTGCATGCAGATTTAGAGAAGAAGCCTCAAAAGAAACGTCTGCCTGGAAAGAGAGAGAGAGAGAGAGAGAGAGATTAACAAGACCGAGAGTCAGATACATTTGAGAGAAACAAGGAGAGTGAAAGATGGCAGGAAAGCGGAGACAGAAGCCAGCAACAAATGATGAAGAGAAGCTGCTTGTAAAGTTTCATAGTAGTTTTTTTCCTGGTTTTCCATCAATCCATTTTATAAGTTTCCATAGAATATTATACTTACTGTATAAAACTGACTTTACAGGTAGATGGTATTTCAGAGCTACTGCTGACAAATTTAGTAGAGTAATGCTTGGATTGGTAACTGGTTATTTGGTTGATTGTGACATTAGTTTACTGAGTTATTCTGGACTGAGCCATGCAGCTGTGTTCTGTAGTAAATGGATGAGATGCCCACTGAGGAATTTCTCAGTTTTTCTGTTCTTACCTGCTCAGGACTATTAGCTGGCTGAAGCCTCTGGCTGCAGGCTGTAGAGTCTGGCTGGGTCTTGATTGTCGCAGACGTCAGTTCTGGACATAGAAGTCACATTCAGACACATACTACCCAACAAACCAGAACCACAGGTGGCTGCAGCAGCAGCAATGGAGCAGAGAGATACAGCAGTGAGGGATACTAGTGCTGACAACATGAAAGCTTGCACTCAGACAGAAACAAAAACACTAGGTGTTTTGCAAAAATGAAAAACAGTGGCCCAGTCTTACCTGTTGTCATTGATATCTGTGGTGTTTCCTGTGGAGAAAGAGAGATGCATAAGGAGGCAGGCAGATGCACAGTGAGAGGGCTGGTGGAGTGTAAATTATGCAATGAATGGGTCTGTACAATAACAGACACATGTGGGTTTAACTGAAACTACCCAAAGCCACTGACGGTGAATAGCTTTAGAACAAGCAGCTGCATTAATGTGTCCTCAAGTCATCATAAGATGAGTAGATACCGTGTTTATCAGTACACTTAAAAACAACACACACAGCTTGAACATTATGACCTATCAGTAAGGCAAGGACTAAAAGATCATAAGGATTGCTCCCACAGAGCTTCCATGCAAAGCACAAGTCTCTTAACAACTGTCTTTACACAAAGAACAGCACTTACAGTGCATAGAAAACGGGATCCCGTCTCCAGGATGGCTCTATTTGCAGCTCCAGGATCATAATTACAGTACATTCTGTGGAGTCTGATGACTTAAATTTACCTGACAGAAGTCATTTTACTCTTGCTACTATACTACAATCCTTAGAGGTCTGTGCTGTCCATGAACTACTCTGACAGGGATTTATTTCACCGATTATTTACTTGGCTCTTTTAGGTGACAGCACATTGACAACCAGAGACATCAAGAAGTTTCAGTTGCTACTCAGTCTCCAGCAAATGAGAAGTCTGCATGAGTTTATTCGTGGTTATTCATGGAAGCAAGTTTTCTTTGTTTGTGTGCAATTTTATGAGTTGGGTACTGTCAAGGAATCTCACGCTTAATTAATTGTAAGGTTGCTGAGTTTAATCTCTTCAGTAGAAAAACAAAACAAAACAAACAAACAAAAAACATAGTGACAGCAATTAAATGTCTTATACCCAACAACACATGCCATAGAAATATAAGCACAGGGCATGCAGATTAGCTTCGAGTTCTCCAGGTTCCTACGAGCCCTTATTGAAATTCATAACGCCAAGTAGGGTGAAAATCACTAGTGATGAACAAGAGGGAACTTCCCTTCAAGTCTGACTTCAGAATATATTACAGTGTATAAGCACTTTCATTACAAAATGCCATATGTCGATTCTGAGGGAAAGAACTGAACAAATAAATAGAAATAGTATGAAATTAAATATTTACATGAGATTACTCATAGCATCCAAACAGCTGCCACCACTGTGTGTGTGTGTGTGTGAGAGAGAGAGAGAGAGAGAGTGTGTGTGTGTGTATGCCAAAAAGGCTAAAATGTCAGTATTTCCTCCAGAATGTTTTTGTTGGCAGTGCTGACTAAAACTAAATCTAGCCTGCATACATTTTTTATGAGTTCACTGAAAAGCAATGATATCTGATATCTAATCAAAGGTACAGTAGGTTCTGCTGCAGCAGATTTATATATTGGCTGTAACCCTGTTTCTGACTTTTACTGGTATTCCCAGAGAATCAAAGAGGTGTGCTGCTGTTACACAACTCTACAACTGTCATCGCTGGGTCAGAAGCTTAGGTGGGCACTCAGCCTGTCTGGTTTGCTATCTGTCTGGCTGAGTAATGACAGTGCAAGTCTAATCTATCTCCTCCAGAGCCTGTCGCCGATGAACACAGACACACAAACATGGACGTGCACAAAAACCTCAAGCCGCAGCAATATCCCATAATAAATTAAATTGTTTCTTGGTGAAAAACATGACAGTTTGTATTACAATAATATATAAACACAATATCTAAGACTGTTAACATATGTTAAGACCCTTCTCCTTGCTCACCGCTGGCTCAGAATGACAGTTAAGATCAATGACTACAAGCCCATTACACAAAGATGAAAGCAAGTAGACGAAAAACCACAAACAGTGGAAACAAATGTTATCATAGCAACAGGGAAATTACTAGTTTAACAATCAGAAATTGCTAAGTGTACAGTATATAAAACAACATTCAAACATAATGGCCGGCATAATAGCGATCGCTAAATGGCGGCTATAAAAAAATAAACAAATTTACCTTCGCTGCTTGCCATAGTAATTTCTCAATATTTTAAAAGGCTTTATCTGAGTAGAGCTCACCATTTTCTGAATCGAGCATCTCTGCAGTGTTGCTGCCCGTTTGGCTTGGTTCAGCTGGAAACCTACCAACAGCAGAAACAGATGGATATGTAAGTGTAAACTTAAACAAAACACAATTGTAATTACATCTGAAAATGGAAGAGGACCGATGTGGTCAATTGACCAGGAAAAAAACTAACAAACAGGCAAACACTGGCAAAACAGATGAGAGAAAACTCCCATGCTGCATGTGTATATCACACACAGTTAACTTTAAGATGCTTGGCTGGGAAAGCACAAGCAGAGTGCTACAAAGCACAACACAGGTACAGCAGTACTAAAATAAGGTTTAGGGCCACTTCCAGAGCTTTCAGCTGCATTGCACAGTCTTCATAAGGGGATTGTTGTCTAGTAGATGGTTGCACTGCTATACAAGGGTTTTAAAAAGCTAAGAAGTGAACACTGTGTTAAGATTATTTTTGAACCACTATGTCCAAGGTCAAGAAAGTGGCTGAAAACAAAAAACTGTTAGTGAGTCAACCATGAGTTAAGACTATTTTGTCAGTAAAGTGAGCTGTGTTTGAAGGCACTGTAACAACCCAGTTAGTTGACCCGTACATTATTTTGTGAAGATTTTTGTCACGAAGGTCCAGTGCAGTATCACCGTCACCTGCAGGATATTACTCCATTATGGTAAAATGCACATTCTGCCCCATGTAACTACGTTTACTCACACGTTGTTCTGATCACTGCTGTCGTGCGTGTCGTCGCTCTGGGATCCCAGATGTTTGACGGGGCTGTTCTGATTGGAGTCGACCTCGGGTGACCTGTGCTCATGCTTTGGTGTTGCTGGAGCAGCAGCAGGAGCAGCTGCTTGTTGGTTGTTGCTGTTGTGGGAAACAGCATTGCAGAAGGGCATGGGGTGATCGCTGTAGCCTCGGATGAAGAAGGGGTTGGTGGGATAGCAGACTGGGAGGTGGCCAGGACGCACTGGCTTGGCTGAAAGAGATAGAGGATTGATTTTTTTGACAGAGGCAGAAAAGACAAAAACATAATTATTTTCCCCAAAAGAGCACAAAATAATACACCGTTTTTTAATGTGACTGGAATAATAAGAATATATTAATATAAAACACAGTTATTCCCAAATGATTCCATGTAATCCTCAAATGAAAATCATTATTCTAAAAACACTTTCAAATCAATAACTCATTTTCTCATTTGCTTCACACAGACCTCAGATTTATAAGTACAAATATCTCAAACTGAACCAAAGAGTGATCCAAACTGCTTTTTTCAATCAACTGTATGTCTCTCAGAAGAGCAGTGCTCATTGTTTAAATCCTTAAAAGCAATTATTAAAGGCTACTGTCAGTCCTACTGTCAGGTTTCATAATTTTCAGCAGGTTGGCATATCCATAAATATTCTGTCTTCGCACAGCATGTGTTAGACTGCCATAGATGTTACTGAATTTAGATTGTATCACAAAAATGGCACTAAAATAACCCTTATTATGATTCATATAAATGTTATTAATGTCTTATTATTGTCATTATTCTAAAATGCTATCAAAATTTTTCTTGTTTCTACAAAAGTCACACTATGAAAAAAACCTCTTGATTAAAACTGGGATTTGTATGGCGTGTCATTTGATGGATAACATTCACTTGGCTGCAGAGGAAATTAGACTTTACTACTGGCAGATGTAAAATCTAATTAACATGAAAAAAGTAACTTTCAGTGGACTCATATCAACACACTTTCTCACAGCAGTACTGTCTGGGTTGATTTGGAGTTTCATGCTAGTGCTACCCTAAGTTACATACCGTAGCTTTAACTTTGATATTTGAATCGATGTTTCTGTGGGTGCTGTGCTGCACAGTGGAAATTACTGTGAATATTGCACTTAAGTGTCTAGATTAGTACTGTGTTACCTATCTGTGCAGCATGGGGCCGGCGGAAAGGATTGCGGGCCTTCATCACATCTTTGATCCGCTCCACCTCCTGCTGGTAGCGGTGGCGGTCCTTCATGGCTCCTTCCTTTGCCTCCTTTAATGCACCCTCCAGCGCCTTAACTCGCTCAGCCGTAGAGCGAAGACGTTTCTCCAGTTTTGGAAGCTCACAGCGAAGATCTGCATTGTCACGCACCAGCTGTCGCACACACAGGAACACACACACACACAGTATACTGAGGCAGAGAGGAAAGATATCAAAGGCCATTTAATATGCAGTATCCTCTTATACAAAAAGAGACTGATGAGATGCAATAGTTAAAGAAAGTTTGTAATCTCTTTAGTAATATTTTTACTGGAACATTTTTCTGTTTACTTTGAATAGTACTGACGTGTCCTTTTAATGGTGCTACAGTGTTACAGTGTGAGACCATCTGTTCTTGTTTGTTTTGCAGAGCAAGAATGAGAATGTGTTGCCTCTGTGTTTCTAATTAGCTTGACTGAAAAGCATCCTCCAGTTTGGTGAAGTGAGAAACCCCCCTTTTTATACAGCAGTGGATGTACAGCAGCAAAGCAACCACATAACTCCTATGTTGAGTTATTTTATTGACCATACAATAGTATGCTTTAGCTACAAACTTGACCACAAACAATCCTGCGGCACATAATGTAAAATATATCACATTTGATTCTAGATAATGGTCTTGGTTCTATACAGTTATACCCATAAAGAAAATCAATGTGGAGATTTATTGATTTTAAATCTCTGCACACAGCCCATTCCCTACAAGTGGGAAAGGTAAATGTGAAAAATCCAGTGACTGAGTACCACACAGAGAGTCTACTAGTACATGACCATCCAAACTGATCGATACCCTGCGAAAATACTGAGTAGAAGACCTGAGGATTTAGTGAGCTGGCAAAGTTATCTGACAGACAAAGCAGGCTTCAGGAATTCTGCAGATCCACCTGAGGCTTGGCAGTGCTGGTTGATTGTTTGTTGGGGAGTCAATTTAAAAGAAAAATATGAAATGGAGGTAAGATTCCCACAGGAGGTAAATTATGTTATACAAGAAATAATGACAGAGTGTGTGTGTATGTGAACAGATGGATGAACAGACATTATTATATCTTTGCAGGGCCAGAGAGGCTCAGGCAGCATGCAGCCCTGGTGCACTGTCCACTGCATATCTCTGGGAGCCTTATCATGATCCAATTGAGAGTTTGCTGATTTATGACCTTTCCATTCTCCCATTATCAGCAGGTGGTGGATGGGGAAGCATTTCCCAGTGTCCCACTTTGGGATTGGTTTTCTGCCTGACAAACTGCTGCAGTGCAGTCCTCGCCACTCTGCCAGCCTGAGTACACTGAGAATGTTTAATACATCAACACTTAGTCGATTGCTGTAGTCCACTTATGAATATTAAAGAAAGATGTGAGGTGTGTGTTTATGTGCAATCTTTTTGAGGTTCCTTTTGAGCGTTTGTTGTGTCGAGAGAAAAACTCAAGTATGTTTGTGTGAACCTTCATGAGGATGAATTCATTTGTGAGTAATTTTATTGTGCTGTGCCTTTTTTCTCCTGAAAAGGCAGGTTTAACACCTCCTGTAGGACTGTTTTCAAGAAGACATTCAAGTGAAGCTTCTGTAGTGAGGTGATTTGATGGCACTAGTATTACCTTTTCCTACAGGCAAGTGATGACAAACAGTGCACACTGCTCTGTAGTTTAATTTAGCTATGCAGTATTCTGCCTTACTGCTGTGCCTCAACTTCTAGCCTGAGGCAAAACTGATGATTTGTCCTAATTTTGAAAGAACTGGTGGATGGGTAATTATCATTTATAGTTTCATATTTGCTGCTTGGTGTTACCTGCTTGTGAACTTTTGTAAGCTGGTCCAGGTTGTTTTCAAGAAAGGAAATCTTCTGTTTCTGCATGATATATCCCCCAGTATCATCAGGCTCCATCTCTGCACTCTGTCAACAAAAATAGCACAGATCTTTTAGCTCTGTATAAAAAAAAAAGAAAACACTGCCATCTCTCAAATACTGCAGTCCCAGAAAGGTATGTCCATACAGTCTACAGTAGGTACAGTAGAGTGACATGCACTCTGGCTACAACGGTTATATGTTGGGAAATATAGCTTTTAAGTGTGTTGCGTAGGTTAAGCTTGTCTGGCTTACTTTTCTAACTCGAGTCGTGAGGTCTTGAACAAACAACTTGCGGAGGTTGTGCAGGGTATGGAGCTCTCGAGCCTACAGTATGAGACAGAGAGAGGAAACAGTGCAGTAAAAAGAAGTTAGAGAGTACTGTGGCCTCTGGGGGAGCCAAGTGAGTTGTGATGACTTACAACAGTCTCTTCCAGCCCTTTGAGGTCCTGCTTTGACTGCTCATGTTTCTCATGGAGAAACCTATAGATAGGTAGAGAGACAGATGCTCATATAGACAGATCTAAAAAAAAAAATCTAAATGAACGTCTCTTTGCCCAGATGAGTGCCACATCCTTGCCACAATAAGTCATGAATAAAGAACAAACGTGGCATGTACCAGCTGCCCCCATTTGTGGACTGATACCCATCTGCCAACTGATGCAATATGCTGCAAAGGTCAGTGCAGAAAGAACCTTATTAGCAGCCAGCTGCTACCTTTATCCAAAATAATGAAGATGCAAAGAGAGTAAGACAGCAAGAAACAGATAAAAAGAAAGAAGCAAAGAGAGGGTTAAAGGGATTAGCCTTAAGCTAATTTAAGCCACAGTCTGTATGACTGTATTATTCCACAGAGAGAGACACATACTGTAAATATAATGACAGTCAGAGCTGCAGAGCGGGAGGAGAATAAATAGACACAAGGAAGACAAATGACAGAGTGAAAAGGAAACTGTGGATCAAAAGAGGCAGCTCACCCTAAGGCCTCCATATGGTGCAGTGTTTGAAAGCTAGCCAGGAGAGTAAAGTAGACACTCACGTCAGTTCCTCAAGCTGCCGGCTTTTGTGATGGTCTTGGGTCCTGAGACGTTCAAAGTTATCATGCAGTTGCTCCAACTCCAGCTGCTGCTTCTGGTTACAGCTAAATAAAAAGTGAAAACAGACTAATTCAGGGATTCAAATACAGGAATTTAGCTAATAGTAGTCTAAGCACCCAAGAGCTTTGGCTAATTACAAATGAAAAATGGAATCTGCAGTGCCACCTGGAAATGGAAGTGGGCTCCTTTCAATTCCACTTTTAGTGGAACTACATAATTACTTATGTTATTAAGGGTCTATTACTTTAACTTCATGTCCTTGTTTTACCACTGTGTATTTTGTTTATTCACCTATTGTTTTAAAAGAAATATTAAAAAACGGTCATCAGAGTGGTTTAATGGACATTTTTATACTGGTTGAAAAAACTTTTCTGACACGAGCACAAGTATTATGCTGATTTTTTTTTTTTTTTTCTATCGAGGAGCACCTCTCTGTGGTTAATAACCACCTCATATGTGAAAAACAGATTGTCCTTCCTGAGTGTAAGGTGAAAAAGTCCAGCTCAGTGGTGTGCACAGACTTTTTAAAAGCAGCAGGAGCAAAAATGAGGAACGGGCACCATTTCTATGCACAACATCAGGATTTATTTTTGCCCTAAGGGAACAGAGCTGTACAGAATGGCCAGACTGACATGTTGGCAGACCACAGGAGTAGCTGGGTGGCTCAAGTGTGTCATCTGGTCAGAGCTAACACATGAAAGTGTCCCGTTAAGATACAAAACCACAGCTACATCCTGGTTTAATAAAAAAAGAAAAGCATTTGGAAAAAAGGGTTCACACTTTTAATCATTTTTGATTTTGCTCTCCTTTTCCGATATTTGACTCATGATAGAACATATACATGCTTTTCCTATTCTGTTTAAAGGATCTGAAGAGCCACTCTGCTACCATCCATCCATCAATTTTCAAGCTGTTTATGCAAATCAGGCTGTGGCAGCAGGACAAGGAAGGCATTCTCAATGTCATTTCATTCAGACGCTCTGTGCAGCTGCTGTCTGGGTGTAACCAGACACTCCCAGTCCCACCTGGGAAATGTATATCAGTCCCTCAGGGCTGTCTGTCCCGCAGTCTCCCCCAAAACAGTCCGGCACCTGAAGGGGCCTCTTTTTGAAAGAGCCCAAACCAGACCAGTGGCTCCTCACATTGAGGTTGAGCAGCAGCTCAGCTCTAAATCTTCCCACACTGCAATTTCTGCACCATGTAAACCACCCACACATATTGATTTCAGCTACTTTCGCAGCTAAAGGGCTTATACTTTCTGAGAACTCGAATACTAAGACTATGCATTCACACTTTTTGCATATTTCCACTGCTTATAAGTGTAGAATTGAATTTCAGATTTCAGCCCACAGACAGCTGACAGAGTGAGCAGCCTGTCTGCCTCTGGAAACATATGATCTGCACTGGACTGCACCACAGTCTAATATGGAAATAAATAAGAATTACAACAAAGTACTGACTCAGTTAAGTTGTCGATGATCTTTTGCTTCTCATTGATCTCATCTCGCAGGCGGCTAAGCTGTTTGCTGTGCACCTCGCGGTGTGACTCCATTTGCTGCTCCAGAGCCCTCTGAGGCATGGTCAATACGAGGGGGGTGAGAGCCATATACAGTGTGCATGAAAAGAGAGAGTAAAGACAGTACCCAGAGGTGGGAACACATGAAAACCAACATGACTAAATGACAAGAAAGGACAAAATTACACACACCATTGCACATGTGGACATAAAATGTGGCCACCAGGGCATTGAACACACACAGAGCAGATCGTGTCATTCGCTGCCACTGTGAATGACACGAGCCAATGAAACTAGAGCATGTCACACACAGCTACATACACTGACAGGCAAAAACACTTTATTGAACATGTGCGAACACAAATACAAGAGATGATGACGAGCAACAAATACTGCCATCTTTAAAAGATAAGGCTGTTGATTTTCTTTTTTTTTCCATAAATCCCACACAGAGACTAAAACCAGCACAGAGATATTAGCTAAACCAGAATGTGGATTCAGACATTATGGTCAGTAAAATAAAAAAAAACCTTTCAGGCTGGATTACAGGGCTGACAAGTGCTCTGGGGCCACAGACCTACAGGGGCCATAAAAACCCTTGGTTTAATATATGTTTCTTGCTTTTCTGTAATTTGCAATTTGCACCATACAATACAATATCAACAGAGTCCTGTCTTATCATGTAATCTTGTGACCTTGTTTGTGAAGGGGCCCTCTCTGATATCATAATATATTTCTAACTACTTATCTCAGGTCATATTGTGATCACATGGTGCACGTAAAGTTGTGTATCTTCAAATTACTACAAACTAATTGACACTCAGAATGTCAGATTGTTAACTCATAAGCCAATCAACAAAAACTTTGACAAAAACCTAAATATTTTTGATTAACCATGACATTAAATATTTGCTGTTTCCAGCATCTCTGACTTTTTCTATTTTGTTTCAATGTAATTCAGTATTTTATAATTTTGGACTTGACATAAGTTATTTGAAGATATAACATTAAACTCTTGTACTTCCTGAAATAATCTTCTATTTTTTTTATATTATTTATTTTACTTTACACATTCTACATTTTATAGGCCCAAATAGATAAAATTCTAACAGTAAAAATTTTACGAGGTTAATGACTCCTGGAAATAATGTATTCGCCACTTTTCTTCCACTGATTGTATATGACAAAAATGCTTTTTGACCCAGTGTGTGTGACTTCGCTAAAATCCTTAACACTTGATATTTATTGTACATGAGAGCAACATGGAAGTGAATTTTTCTCAACATGTCAAACTGCTCCTCAACACAATTTATTTCTGTCTCTACTATAGTTCATATGCAGAGACACTTGCAGTCATAAGCCCATCTACCAGTGCAGCGCACACTCATGGATGCAGAGACACACACACACACACACACACACACGCACACAACATCCACACATGCACACCTGCAGCTAGCCGAGCACTGAGTGATGAAAGGCTATTACACTAAGCTGTAGCCATGGTTACAATACCTTTATATCACAGCAATCCTGGACAAATGTGAGATTCCTCCCCCTGGTCACCTGTGACATGCTCTCTGAAACACACACACACACACACACCTATATTTTGAAGAAAAGTCAGAGAAAATAAGACAATGCCAGAAACTAAGACAGAGAGAAAAGAAGAGGAAGATAAAGGCAGGGAGATAAAAGAGTAACACACTCATGTAAGTGAACAAAATGATGGTGACCTGACTTTTCCAGCAAAGCTGTACTAGCACTTAATATTGACAGTGAGGTCAGTGTGATTCATGGGTGTAATAATATCTATTATTCTGAATGGCAGCTGTTTTGTCACGCCGCTCTGATCGGTTGTTGATTCACTGCTGTTTCTGGTGTGTGGTGATGAAATTACTGAGCTCTCTACCTCTCACCAGGCTGTGTGATCAACATGACCTGCAGCACTTTGCATTCATCTACTGTACCTCTCTAATTAGTCAAGGACCGCCTTGCTTTGGTGTGTGCCAAAATTGATTCACCTGCCCTAGGAGTCAGAGGTGATTTAATGCAGTTCTGTGGGATTCTTTAGGGAGAATGCTTACATTGCCTTTGACCTGATTTGTGAATTGTGTCAGTGTCTCAGGAGCATTTGCAGTTAGCTGGACCTCACACACGTTTCAAATGTACCATTAATCCAGTCCTGCTGGTGCTGAGAAATGTTTGGGAACCTTAGCTGTTCATCAGCATTTACCCTTGTTTTTCTTTATGCTGACAGGATAGAAACGCCTCTGGCACAGGCTCAAACTTTCCACTGATGCTAATAAAATGGTTTTAAGCAAAGAGGCACTTCCTTTCAGTTCTAGTTCAGTGGTGCAGAAACACAGTGACAGGCTTGTTGTCTTTTTTCTTTTGACTTAGACTTTTTTGTTTGACTGTTCCAGAAAAGTAACCTTAAAGTTGACTTGGACATCTCAAGTAAGCAGTTCAGCAAGATTTACAACATCCGTCTAAATCTCACATGGGTGGTCAGCATGGATAATTTGAATCACTTGAGCGCAATTTTATCTTAAAGGCCATGGCTCAGTTGAAAGCCTTTACTTTATTTAGATTAATATTGAGCACAGTCTGTTTTGCTGACTGCCTGATTGGATTGCTTCCTGTCCTTTTATATCACCTGATTTATCAAACATAAATCTGTTGTTTTACTTAGCTGAGTGTACTATGTTCCTCCTTTACCTTAGAGTCCGAATAACTGTTAAACTCTTGCTCTTTGTATTTCATTCACGTAGATAAATAACTCAAACTCAAGCCTGAGGCAAATACACTTTGATTACAAATACAACACTTGTATGTTTCACTACACTGAGTGTGTTAGTGCAGTATTGATCCTTGAACTTTGTGTGCAAATAGCTGGATAGATTTCACCCCAAAAAGCTTGATTCATATACTATTACAAAAGTGTTGAATGTGTATTTCAACAAGTATTTTTGAGAAGTACACTGAGATTGTTCATCAGTTGCCCTCGTTGGGTGGATTGCCATGAAATTTGGTTCAGACATTTGTTTCCCTCAGGATTACTTGTGATCCATTCACCTTCTATTTAGTATCACAGGCCAAATTTTTTATTTCTCCATTACTTGGGTCAACTCTAGCCTAGTTTGGTGTGAATTAGCACATTTCACCATGCCCACATATTACTTTCACATAAGTGAAACTAGTAAACATTACCTTACCATTGGAATGTCAGCATTGTCATTGTGAGCATGTTAACATGCTGACATTAACATTTAGCTCATAGCTTCACTGTGCCTAAATGGCTTAGTGTTTTTTTGTTCACTGGTTACCTGTGTTATGGTGCTCAACTTTGGATTGAGAGAGCTAGTGATATACTTCAGTCGTTTACCATAATGGCTCATTATAGTGCATTACCTTGAGCTTGGAGTTTGGCCAGCTCCTCGCTCAGAGAGTCGTAGCTGTCTTCCAGCTGTCTCTTCTTCAGCTCCACATTCTGCATGTACTCAGTGAGAGAGCGGATCTTTGCCTCATGCTGAAAGTAAGAACACAGCGTCTCACAGATGCAGGAAGTATACTGATGAGCAAAGACCCTCTGTGCAAGGGAATACATTACAATGAGGGGAAAAAAGTACTTTTAGTCATTGTTGAATGGACACGGTTTGCAGTGAATATTCATGATCACTGTGCACTAGGGAATTCAATTTAAATACTGAAGAGGGTAAAATTTACACCATGGTGGCTTCAGACAACCACATTATCACATAGCATACAAAACACACAATCCCTTAAGAATCAGGACAGTTTGCATACTGAACACTTCTGATAAAAAAAAAAAAAAGTTAATTACACAAACAGTTGTGTCATTTTGAGCACACAGCTCTGAAAATCTCACAAAGGCCTATGTAGCAATGTGTGATGTTAATCAGACTGATGAAGAGGCGTGTGCTGAAATGTCACTCATTTGTTTGTGGTGATAATTAAAGTTTTGTACTGCAAAGTTTCACCATCAACTGTCTTGATTTTTCCACATCAACATAAAAATTTTCCTCTGGGTAACAACTTAAACCTTTTTCCTTCACCACATGTGTGTAGAGGTTGATAGCTCCTCCAGTTCTTCCTTGTATCAGTCCCTCACCTGTGAAATGAGGAGGTGGCACGAGGACAACTCTCTTCCTGTCTCCTCCATCTTGCGGTGACACTCCATCTGAAGGTTCTCCAGGTGACGACAGCGCTTCACCATGGACTTCACCTCTGACTTTATCTTATTGATGTAGAGACGGGCCACTGTGAACTCCTCCTCAATCGCACCAGTGATCTCCATAGGCTATGAGATGAATGAGGCATAGAGGAGGAGAGACAATTCAAGGAGAAGTAAAGATGTTTAGCTAAAATTCAAGGATTTAAAAACAGCTCTGAAGAAGAGGAAGACATCTTAGAAACAATTTCTGGCATCAATGGATGATGTGATTCAAAGGCTCTGAAATGAACTGTGGAGGATGGAGTGCACACATCAGAAGCAATCTAAACACTACAGATGAGCGTGGATATACATATAAACTATCCTCAGGTGTAATATAGAAAACTTCAGAGTTAATACATCGATACATACTGCATACCGAGTATATAATTTAATGTATGTCACCTCAGATAAGTCACCATTGTAAACTCAGCCACTAACACACACAAATGTTTTTAAATGCTCATGAAGATCTTTGAATTGACACAGATGCCAAATCTGTCAGGCTAAATTAGAGACAAATATGTAAAAGAAAATAGGCGCAGGACTCAAAAAACCCACTCTGTCTTAGGTTTTAATATTTCACTCACTGCAAGTGTGATAAAGCTTTAGTGTGCTTTAGAACAAGCAGACACAGGATATATAGTATATATAAATATAATATTCTCAGACAGTGTGAACTTTTGAACCCTAGGCTGTCTGACTGATTTTCAATCTTTTGGGATCACTACATGTCATATATTGCTATTTTCAGCGGTGAATCCATTTGTTATAGTTTAACCTTAAACTGTTTATCACCGTAAAGAGTAGGATTACAGGATTGCATTATGTATATCACATCTAATGTCTGTTTATACTTGTTTGGCTGAGTTATGACTCTGAGTGTGTGATGATAATATGAGAAAAGTTCTCATAGTTTGCCACAAACATCAGGTATTTTAGTTTCCTTGTCTCCTATTTTGTCACTGATCTTTTTCAATGGCGGCATTACTGATCGGCGAGTATGTCTCTAGACCTGCAGCCTCTGTTCCACTCACCAACTTGATGTCCCTATTTCCAACGATGATGCTGAACTCGCTCAGGTCTTTCATGAGCCCATTGAGAATCTCGGCAATCCGTTTCCTCTGGTGGCTGCTCACTTCCTGGATACGTGACAGCTCTGCCTCTAAAGCCATAAAGTGAGCCTGTGAGAGGAGAGCAGTGAAACAAAGGAGTAAATATAGAGAAAAGCAAGGGACAAGTGGAACTGGGGAGGGTGGTTTTGTGTGACGACAAAAAGCGAGAGAGAGCTGAGTGAGAGAAAAAACCCTTAAGAAACTGGAATGTTCATGGGAATAATAAAGGGGGAGAACACTGTGTAAGATGACTGACAGAAGCGGGATGGAAAGTATAACCTGAGAGCACACACTGAACTGTGAGAGACATTTTAATGCCTGACCTTACTCTCATTCAAGAAATCAAAGTAGCAGAACATAATGGTCATTAAATTACAAATCAGTAAACTACTGAGATGGTATCAGTGCTGTATGAAAGGATGTCAGAGTGAATGATGAGCTTATCCTTTTTCAGTTTGTAGAGCAGGCAGCCTCTAAACAATGCTGTCACCCCAATGTACGGAATACAATAAAACAATGTGGGTTCAATCAATACTCTGATGAAGTAAAGTGAAAGAAGGGTGGTACAGTGTGTCTACCTCACAAATAAACTGTTTTATGGAGCCTCAATTTTTTCACCATGATTAACATCAGCCACCAAACAGTGTCTTGTCTATGAATATTTTGGATTTATTATTATTTGAAATGGGCTATTTACCTCAAAATCACAAAATCATCTTGTCCAGGAGTAAATGTAACCCAGGTCTTGGTTCAGTGGTTTCAGTGTGACCATGAGCAACAACACTATTTATTTCAAATATATTATTTTCTACTGTTTAGTCCATACTGCTGCAAAAATTTAAACTGAAGGTTTTTAATCCTTGTTGACCACACACATTGACGATGTTTAATTTCATGCTAAGTTGATCATCTATTATCACAGGAATAACATACGCGAACTCTTTTTTTAATGCCTCGGTCACTTTAGATTACCACTGAATATCTTAAGTGACAGGTTTTATCAACCTCTCCATCTTCATCTCCTTCATTAACTTCAAGCTCTGTGATCATTTCTAAGTCACTTTCCATATCAGAACATTAACCTAGCATAAACGTCAGTAAACAATTACCTGGAATCAACTCAATTAAGAATACGAAAAAGAAGAAAAGTTAATGAAACATGTTGAGTTTAAAGAAGATTTATTAAGTGATATCGTAGAGAGGAGTTAGTCGGTTGAATGATGAATGAAGTTAATCATAACAAAATGGACAGATGGATGAAAGAAGGTGCCTGAAAAAGCAGATGAATGTGAGCAACAGTGAGCGATGATGTGGCCTCCTGCAGAAGGAGAGAGGACCTTCCACTCAAAGCAGAGATGAAAACAGCTGAGGAGACACTGGGGTGAGGATGGATTTACTGTGTTGCGCTATTTTTCTAGGTCAGGTTTAAAACCTCTGCCCTGTAACATTAAATATTCATGGCTGTGTAAGCAACAACCATCCATTCATCCATCCATTATCTATCCTGTTGAGGGTTGTGTGAGGGATGGGGGGTAGTGATGTGCTGAAGCCTATCCCAGCTGACACTTAGTGAGAGGCAGGGTTCACCCTGGACAGGTTGCCAGTCTATCACAGGGCTGACACTCACTCCTATGGGCAATTTAGAGTCACCAATCAACCTAAGCTGCATGTCTTTGGACTGTGGGAGGAAGCTGGAGTACCAAGAGAGAATCCACGCAGGCACAGGGAGAACTGCAAACCCCACACAGAAAGGCACTGGGTCGGCCAGGGATCAAACCTGGAACCTTCTTGCTCTGATATGACAGCGCTAACCACTGCACCACCATGCCGTCCATGTAATAACCCACAGACTTCAATTCCATGGATTTCCTTTATGTATACTGCTAAAAAAAATCTAACCACTGCACCACCATGATACCTCGTAGATAAACTATTCCAGATTTAATATAGTACAGTTTATTCTGACAGCCTGACTGCTCCCTTCATGCAAACAAGCCATTTAGTAAAAACCACAGCATCAATTTTTGAGAATATCTTGAATCCTGACCTTAATCGAGCAGAGCTGTCCTCTGTGGCTGTAGCTGTCGGCATCTTCTAATATTCGTTTGCAGTCATGATGCAAAATGGCCAACAACATGGCGGATGAATCAGTTCATTTACAGTTAGCTAATAGTGTCACTGATAGTGAGTTTGTGGTCAAGCTAAAGAAACAACAATGATTTCTGTCAGGTTGTTGATCACTGTCAAGAGTGATTTTGACTTATGAAACATTTACTTTACCTGTATTCAAAGCCTTGCATTTTCTCCTCCCTATTCTGAGATTTTCCCCTAATCTTTTCAGTGTTTCCTTCATGTATCTGTTCCAGACTGCTACCATCAGTGTACAGTATCAGAACTTTCTCTCTTATCTTTCCTTCAAAGTAGCTCTCACGTATCTTGGTATCTCTCTAATTGCATTTTAGCCAGTAGTTCTACATATTCTTGAAAGACCCACCCAACGCTCCTAGTACCCCATAGAGACTGTGTCTGCCCCCTGCCCACCTAAATTATATAAATCAAGAATCAACTCCAGAGGAGTTATTCATAAGAACCTAATTAAAATTAAGATGACTCCTCTTATAGTAGAAAGTAATAGGACAATCAAATGTGGACTATTAAATATCAGATCTCTCTCATCTAAATCTCTGTTAGTGAATGATTTGATAAGTGAACATCACATTGACTTATTGTGTCTTACTGAAACATGGTTACAGCAGGAAGAATATGCCAGCCTAAATGAATCCACTCCACCTAGGCACAGTAACTGTCACATCCCTCAAAACACAGGCCGAGGTGGTGGCGTGGCAGCGATCTTTGACTCAAACCTATTAATCAACCCTAGACCTAAACATAGTTATAACTCATTTGAAAGTCTCACCCTGAGTCTCTCACACCCAAACTGGAAAACTCAAAAGCCTGTTCTGTTTGTTATTGTATACCGTCCACCTGCTCCTTATTCAGAGTTTTTAAGTGAATTCTCAGACTTTCTGTCTGATTTAGTGCTTAGTACAGATAAAATAATCATAGTAGGCGACTTTAATATTCATGTAGATGCCGACAATGACAGCCTCAACAATGCATTCTGTTCATTATTAGACTCAGTTGGCTTCTCTCAAACTAAATAAACCCACTCACTGTTTTAATCACACTCTTGATCTGGTTCTGACATATGGCATCAAAACTGAACACTTAATAGTTTTTCCCCATAACCCTCTTCTGTCTGACCATTTTCTAATAACTTTTGAATTCCCATTAATGGATTATACTCTATGTGGGAAACAATTCCACTACAGCAGATGTCTATCTGGCAATGCTGTTACCAAGTTTAAGGAAATAATTCCATCTTTATCTACTTCAGTGCCGTTTGCCAACACAGTGGAAGGAGGCCACCTTAACTTGACT